ACTTCTGCTTGAGTACAGTGTTTGCTTGCAGTTCAAGCAATTCCATCTGTAGTTCAGGTGCAACGTCGTCCACTCGCACTGAGAAGGGCAAAGAAAAAAGTTTAAATTCTCTTGACAGGTTGCTCACGTCCTGGAACCGTTCTTGGAATTCTTGTTGGAGATCACGCAGGAGGTCCGAAAAGGTGTTGCACGATTCTTGGCTCGCGTGCCCTAGTGACTGGAGGGTCGGAAAATGGTCGAGTTTGAGCAGCCTCATTTGGCACTCCCAGAGCTGTAACTTCGATTGAAATGCCTGGATGTCATCATACATTGTCGTAATAGGATTGTCCTTCCCCTGAACTTTCCCATTCAGACGGTTCAGGTACTCAGTGATATCCGTGAGGAATGTGAGGGAGCAAAGCCAGCTGGGGTCGGACAGTTCAGCAACGGCCTTGTTTTTGCTTTTTAAAAAGGTATCAATCTCGTGTCGATGATCAAAAAACCTCTTCAGAACTTTCCCGCGACTCAGCCACCGTACCTCAGTGTGGTACAAAATTTTGCTGTGCTCGCTGCCAACCATCTCTAACAGAGATAAAAACTGTCGATGGTTTAACGCTCTGGAGCGACTGAAGTTTACCGCACCAAACACAATGTCCATAACTCCTTTCATCTGCAGTGACTTGCTGCAGAGTGCCTCTTCGTGTAAAATGCAGTGGACTGCTGCAAACCGCTTGCCGACATCCAGTCCAGTGAGTTTCGTCCTCCATCGTCCGACAAGGCCGCTTTTCTTTCCCACCATTGACGGTGCGCCGTCGGTTGCGAGGCACACCAACTTCTCCCATGGCAGCCCGGCACGATCAACCACTTTTTCGAGGGCGGAAGCAATATCGGCACCTGTGGTTGTTCCTTTCATTGGCACTAGGTCCAAGAGTTCTTCTGTGACGTCCAAATCTTTGTTTACGCCCTTACGAAAATGGCGCACTGAGCGTTGTCAGTAATATCAGTGCTCTCGTCAACGGCGATTGAGAATGCGTTGAAGCCGTTGCATCGGGTGAATAATTCTTTCTCGACGTTTTCACTGAGTTCATTAATTCTTTCTGCCACTGTGTTTGGGGAAAGGCTTATCTTCTCAAATGTCTTCTTGATGTGCTCGGACAGACAGCGTCAGCAACCTGAAGCATCCACTTTTTTATGAACAGGCCATCCGTGAATGGTTTGGACGATTTAGCGATAAGCTCGGAAACAATAAAGCTAGCTCTCACCGTTTCGTCGCTTGTTTTGACCGCCTTTTGGAAGAGGTCTTGTTGTTTTCCCAGGGACGCCTTAAGTTGGGACAGTGTTCTCGCGGATCTTTTTGGTGAGGGCTCCATACTTCTCTTGGTGGCACGACATGAAGTGACGTCGCACATTATATTCCTTTGGCACAGCTACAGTCTGATGACAAATTAAGCACAACACCTTGTGTCGCGATTCCGTGAAAAAATAGGATAGTTCCCATCGCTCTTGAAAGAGCCGCTTCTCGTCTTCAACTTTCCGTTTTGCAGACGGCTTGGAGAACGACATCGAGATGTCTGCTTGAGAGTTGACGTTGCAAGACTGAATCGTTGAAACAGAACGCAACAACCTGTGCTGACCAGTGCAAATCTCGGGTGCACAGCGCCACCGTCAACCGAAGATCACTCTGGGAGTGGAGAGGGGGTGACCGTATTGGGAGTAAAATGCTTTTCCAAGACCTTGAGGGTAAGCATACAACGATGGAATCCACCAGTTTCGACTGGGATAAACTTGGGTGCAAAGGATAAGTGAAGTGACAATGAACACAAAGGGGAGATTGGAAGAGCCCAACGCTTAGACGAGGTACTACTCCGTTCACCCCTAAGCTGACAGTGCGCTGGAGGCTACGTGTTCGCCTTACCAGTCTTATCGCTTGACCTCTTTCAACGCACAGGAGTGCGTGGAGAGGGGAGTGGTCACATGGTTCAAAGCCGACAGTTGAGCGGTTCAGCGAGCGTGCGGCCTCCATCGCACTGTCAGCTTAGAGGTGAACGGAGTATAGGAAGAAGGTGGGGTGGAATGGAGGGGGAGATTAGTTACCCCGGATACGCCATCCGCATGTGTGAAGGTGTGAACCAGGATTATAGGAGGCTATGCTTCGATGCTTTGCACCAAGGACTCTTGGAAGCCCTTTGCCGACGCCTCGGCTACTCCGTCCGGTCCGGCTATCTATTTTTAACCAAAAGCGGCCCTCTCTCTTGACACCGCGCTCTACGTTTGCGTCATGTATCCTGGCATATGGTCAAAGTTTAACAGCTTGGATTTTTTTTAGCAAGCTTTTTGCACACTCGGGGTGAGCGCAAGTGAAAACATTATAAAAAAAGCCAAAGTTAAATAAAAAAAAATTTCACTTATGCCTGGCTGCGCGGGCTGCAAGAAAATGCCGCGCAGGTCGCATGCGGCCCGCGGGCCGCGTGTTTGAGACCCCTGCTTTAACTAAAGCAGAAACGTGCCGAGTGTTCGTCAGATACACTAGAAAAAAAACCCCCCAAAACTACGCAAACATGTCTCATCTGGTCAAATTGCTCGATCACAGTGCTTGCACGCAACCTACTGTCTCATGGAAGCAGTTCACCAAATGACAAGGCCTAAAACCCCTCCCATTCTTGATACCGTGACCTCCGTTCGAAATCGGGATGCCGATTCAAACACCTTTGCCCTAATCTCTAAAATGACAAACTTTATTGAAACTAAAACAAACAAACATTAAAAGTGATATGCCGAAATACATGAGAAAAAAAAAAGTGAAAAGTGCCCGAAATTGAGGCGCAATACGAAAACGGACAAATACGACACCAATCCGCAGAAAAGTTCAGAAGTCCGTGGCGAGGCTGGTGCCGAATACCTTGAGGAGGTCCTGGAGGTCCTGTGTGAGTGGACTACGAAGTCCCCCCACAGCAGCCCGGAGAGTGCCATCTGTCCAAGTATCTGACGGTAATGCTTATGGTTCCTGTTCAGCCGGTATACACCTGCAGTGCCCTTCGTCCAGTGGCGGTCCCAGACATTGGTTTTAGGGGGGGGGCGAAATCGCTGCTTAAATAACAAAAAAAAAGACGTCACACTTTTTTGTGAATAAAGATTTTTTTTATTAGTCCCACTGTTTGCAAGTCGGAAATGCGCAACATGGAAACCTTTGCTCGCAATACAGTGTAGACCGCATATAACGTATGTCTCGGGAGTCACGAAAATCCGCACTATAAGCGGTACCGCGTTATAACCAAAGCATCAATTTTTCGGGCCAAAATACATGCCATGAGACAACTTGCCATTGTAAATCAAAATTATTTTATATAAGATTAAAAATAAAGCTTAGTTTTAGGAAAGTCTGTATTTCACCAGACTAGTACACTTATCTCTCAAGTGTGTCACACATTTTGAAAGAAATCAGCGACTTTTGTCTAGCGCAGCCTTTTAACGGCGTCCCGGGTTGCGGATGGACGTTGGGAGCGTTCAGGATTGCTAACCCTAATCACTTTTCTCCGGTGATGAAAACGCGTGAAAATTCACATCCTTTATATGGTACGCGCATGAAATGCTCAAAAAAAGGCATGAAATGCACATATGAAATGCTCCAAATAAGAAATCCGGGCGATGTTCGAAAACACAAATGCTGAGAAAGCACCACCGTAGTCGAAGTAAACAAACACGACGACACGGGCGTTTCTGCTGTCTTGAGAGTGCTGCCACGAGTAGGTGGATCTTCCCTTCCAGTACGTGCTGGGTTATCATAGCGACACACAATGAAAATTAACAGTCGAGGATAGCGCTTTTACGCGGAACGATGAGCTTCCACCACGCCGTCTACGTCGACGATCACCACCGACGCCATGTTTGTGGATAGAAGCAGCCGGCCCGCGACCGGCATGCAACGCGCGCGAACGGCTGGTTGGGCTCGCCAACTCCTTGCGCTGTGAACGACACTTGCGTGCGTCCCTCCGTCGCTATGGCAACTGAAGCCTCTCTCTTCGCTTCTTCGAGCAACGTCCTTGCCCCGCAAACAGACAAACCAGACAGACAGACGACCGGCTTTGATTATTTCTGCATAAATATTTTTCATGTCACTTTCGAATAATTGTAAAGATTTATGTTTACCGAATCTCAATATTATTTCCATAACCAACCAAGAAATATACTTTAAAGATTTTGGCTTATTTTTAACGTACTTATTCCGATACACGGGCGTTATAAATTGGTATTGTAAAGTTTTCATGTGTGCTTCTAATACCGTCAATTCGTCAGGTACGCCTAATGCGAAATAATTTGGCGTGGTGTCGTCTTCTGCGGATACTCCGATGGTAGACATGCAGTCTAATGTATATTGGTTCAAGTTGATCGAGCTTACGTTGAATTGTACCACACTGGCGTCTATTTTAGACCAGGTGGTAAACAATCTCTCGAAAAATGCAGCATCCATCTCAGACTCTAAATGTTGGCAGTAGTGCATGACATAAATTAAAGATCGATTTTCCAACGGTATTGATACCATCATTTCTGAAAACACCCAGAGCGATTTATAATTATTACTGTTTCGCCACATATTAATACACGCTTGACGCTGATGAAATCTGAGTACATAATGTACTATCGCTAACGTGTCTTGAATGTGTTTTATGTTTTTTGTGTAGACGTCATTCAAGCCTACACCAAAACGCATCAAGACTTTACCGAATTCAAAGAACTTACTATCATATTCTTCGTGTTTCTTTCCACAGTTGTTTGCCTGTTTCAAAAGCTCTTTGGCCACACTCATGGATTTATTGTATAATGGATATTTTTCCAAATACACTTTTGCGTATAAACTCAAAATGTCCGCCGAACGTTGCCATAAAAATACGATAATATATATTATTGGCATAGCCTCGTTATCGTAATTGTGTGCGAAAAAACAACGTAAGAATTCGGGCGTAATGTTCTTTTTACGCATCTCTAAATAAGCGACAATACTTTCGATCGTTGTGGTCATGTTTTTATTTATTTTTGAAAAAAATAGATAATTCCTCCACGATGGCTGTGCTGTTGCGCTGGTGAATTGATTGCTGCTTCTCAATGCACTTGATCCAGTCGGACATCCCGATCCAAATTTCATTCTGGAAGAAACGATGATCCACGAGGAGTATGAGGCCCCAGTCTTTAGAATGACGAATACAACGACCCACTGCTTGGTTGACTGCACGCATGGCTTGTATCTGGTACCAATGCCGTCCGTCGAGAAGTTGTGGTTGTCGAGCGTCGTTGAACTTCATCTTGAAATGCACGTCCTCCTGTTGCGTCGATGGAAACGGAATGCCTATAGAGATCACGGCACGGGCTAAGTTGTCGCTGAAATCGATTCCTTCACTTATGCGTCCGCGATGCACCGCACACATTAGAGACACTTCACCGCAGGCGATGGATTCGATGTAGCCATTGATGGTGTTGCGCAGCGGGTCTTCGACGTAGATGCAACCGTTCGTCTCTCGCATGAGAGACTTCCAAACGTCGTCCATCGCCGTCTTCCAAATTTCGATACATTTCGACATTGCTTGATAAGACGGAAAAAAACAGAGAACTCCACCGCCACAAGCGCCAACTTCGCTAAGTTTCATAGTTTGACACACACTAATTAACAATTCTCCAATGTCGGAAACTATGCGAATGTCGTTGTATGCATTATAGGTAAGCCTCAAAGACCTTTTACCGTTCAGTGAATGTGAAATTCTTTTTATGAGCACATTTTCTGGTGGAACGACGTGATTTCCAATTATTTTATGTTTAAATTTTAAACCAAGCTCCGCCTCGTACGAAGTCGTGGGAGATAGAGTACCCGAAGCCAAAACTATAGTGCGAGTGTTCTTTGCAACAGATTCCATTGCATAACGAGAATCGAGGCAAATGACTCTAAATTTGTCACCAGAGACTACGACCCTAAATCCTTCGAAATCGTACTCTGTTATGAGATTAATGTTTGCCGTAAATTTGTCCATGAAGCGAATAATTTTTTCGTCCTTTTCCGGAGGTATGACATCTACGGTTATGTACTTACGAAGTAGTTCCAAATATTCAGTTCCTGTCATAACGTAATCTCTGTCTCTTTGTGAGCGCAATTTAATTTGCTTTATCATTTTGAGCAAATTAACAAACATAATGTATATGGCAGAGCCAGGTTGCACGCTATGTTTGAAATTTTCCATCGTACTACACGAAGCTTCGAAAGAAAAACTCTCGCGACAAACATTTTCAATGTTGTGAGCTTCGTCTATAATTACGAGTGAATCTGTCAACGATATGTCCATTGAGTTTCGAATAAATGGATCCAGAATATAATTATATGGACACAAAAGTATACGAGCCTTCTTCGTATAATTTACGTCAGTATAATAAGGACAAATCTTTAAAGTAGAACATTGATTTACTAAATCTTCCATATCGATGATTGAGGACGCAGATTTCGGGTGCTCTACTTTACCAATATTCGCAAAATACATACAAGATTTCTTTTTCACGGTATTACAGAGGCATGCCATGTTACCCATTCCATGAGGATTCTTGTAAAGACATAACTTTTCCTTGCCCATGAGCCTTGCCGTGTTAATCGTAGAATCCACCTGTCGAACGGTGTTTGTAATATGATAGAGTTGCTCGTGAGTCCGAGAACAGAAATACACGACGCTAGTGGTCGGATTCTTCGAAATCCAGCACCTCGCTGCATTGATCAAGGCTAATGACTTGCCCGATCCCGTCGGCGAATCTATCGATACATTTTCTTTCTTCTCCAATGCTTTTAGTATCGTGGTAAGTATTTTCATTTGAATTGGATAGGGTGTCTTTGTCTCCGGTCGAAACATCCTCATCACCCTCGCTTACTAATGTAAAAGACGTGTCCGTATTCTCTCTTATAAAGCGATCGAATCTCGGCACGACATTGCTAGTTTCGGGTTTTTCGTCAGCCGCGTTCCATTCGTCTACTATTAAACAAATGACATTTTTGTCTCGACTACGACGATGGTGGTGGTGGTGGTGACGACTTTCATGCTTATGCTTCTTGGATTTAGATTTATGTTTTGACATAATTTTTTTTTCTTTTCAGTGATATTACTTCATTTTCATTTTTTTAACCATCTAGCAGTTCTTTATTTATTTCAATCTTTCAAACCATTCTAAATAATCGCATATATTATGATAGACGTCTTTATAATACAATATATTCATAAACATGTCGTGCATTCTCGGATTTGGAATGGTACTAGGTTGAATTACGTCTTTTAATACAAAGGGTCTAAATGCAACATGATGCTAAGTTTGTGAACGCATGCCGTGAAAAAAGTCAAGGAACTCGTTGTACTTACATTCAAAACATTGATAGTTTCACAATATATTCGAGTTTCTATGTTTGGGTACGGCGAAATCCAAATGGGGGAGTACCTCGGTATCACGGAAAAAAGAACACATTTGTTATGCCGATAAATTCTATAATCTATATACTTGCATATAATGTCGAAATACCAAGGCTGTAATCGTACGACGTGTAAAAAGACGCGCATGTGCGTACGATGCTTACCGTTGGTGATGAAGTGAAATATTTCTACTATAGTCTTGATGCATAGATGATTTCTGACGTTACTTATAACAGATATGTGTATCTGTTCTAACAAATAAATGAAATCAACAAGATCACGTGGCCTTGCATTTTGGCGAGCAGTTACACGCTTGATTACACACACTAGACGATACGATAATGGAATAATATGGTTGTTATAACAAAATATGTCGCACCACATTTTCTTGCAGACGTCCCTCTTAAGCAAAGAAGGCCACGATTGGTTGAAGCAGCAGTGTAGTCGAGTCGTCTATTCCGCTGCTCACGTCCTTCGTCTATTAAATGACGCCGACCAGAAGTATGTTCCAATCGAGCCTTCCTCTTCTCCGTCCGAAATCTTTTCACGTTACGAGTCTGCAGATTCTTCTCTGACACAACAGGATCTTCGAGAAATCGACGAATTCTTTAACAACGGAAAAGTCTTATTAGGAACAGCTTGGTTCGATCGAAAATACACGCCTTCCAGAGACACTTCCAGCGATACCGATGTCAATGATTGGCTACAACTGGCCTACGACGACAGGAAAAAAGAAGCGGTTAATACCTCGTATTTCAGAGATTACGTGCTACATGCCAGGCAAACGCCCAAAGACTCTGAAAATTTGCTAGGCAGTGAGGTTGACGATAAATCTTTCGGACAGATTGTTAAAGATGTTCTAGCAAATTTATGGGAAGAGCCCAAACAATAGAATGAATGAAAAAAAAACCATAAGTGTTACACTACTTTATTTCTCTAAGCTAAATACAAAATAAAAAAAAAAAGTGGAGTCATGGCGAAATCAAGGGTGAGCAGACACAATAGAAAGAAGGATAATACTGACTTATGCAAGAACGAATTGAAACGCTTGAGTCTTCGGAGCAGCGTAGTACGTGGCTCCAGCGATCTTCACGCCGAAGTACAAAAGGAAATTCGCAGGTTTCTGGACAACGCAGTGCGTCGCGCCATTACATTTTCAAGGTATCGCCAACGCAGGACAGTTATGAAGAAGGACGTTGAACAAGCACTTCGAGTAGAAAATATTCGCATACTTGGATACTAATAAATAAAAATGGATTTATTATATACACCGTTTTCGAATATTCCGACCGAATTTGACCGCGAACTCGAACGTAGAGCGGACGAAGCTTTTAAATTACACAATGTAGATCTGTACGATAAGGTTGGCTTACATACAAACTATCAGATAGACGACAATATGGTAGATATTGTCTTTCAAACTTTGTACGGATTGCCTAGTATTTCTACTTTAGTTAATATTCATGACTACGCTATTGATTTCCTACCGAAACATACCAAATTCTTGTTAAACGAATTCACTCAATTGGAAGAGAAGGATATTTCTCTGGAGCTTAAAAGAGAAGTTGCAATTCCGGCACTCAAGTCTGTCATGTATAGATTTTATAGCGATCCGGTATGTAACATACTCGGAGCAATTTTACCCACGATATGAATTCGAGACCTGGCACGCATGCACAAAGAAATGGAAGCGTCCGTTTTAGACAATAGAGAAGCCGAAGTGAAAAGTCTTCTCGATAGTTGGTTGAACCTGGATGTTTATAATTTAGACGAAGTGGAAAAATTGGCTTTTAATCTTCACAATGAAAAAGACGAATCCTTTCTACTTAAAGTTAAGCAAATATACAGTGAAGCGTTACGCGTTTTAGAAAAAAGCGTTTACGGAGAAAATATGCGGTATATAGAAAAGCGTAGCATTTTTTATATCGATACCCTGTTCAGCAATAGGCTAGAATTTACAGAGTGGGTTTCCAAAGTATCTCAACATCCATCGTGGTCTTCAAACCATCCTCTGTTCGCATCGAGTTTAAAAGAGCTATTTCGATCTGAGATCGGATCAACGAAATGGGAGGCAGATTTCCTTTATTGGTTAAAAGACACTCCTACTAATGCTTACAAGATTTTTAAATCTCTCGAGAGTAAGATCGATATGGCACAAACATTCATCGATGAATTGGACGAAAGATTATTAAGCCCCATAATTAAATATACAGCAGATGACAGGAACAAAGCGAAGCAGTATTTATTTTTATCTATGAATAACATTACTGAAATTGAATTACAAGCTATACAAGATAACTTAGTTATAGTTGCAGATAATTTCGAAAAAAATGGCCACAGATAATAGGAGAGAGTCCTTATTTTGGGCTTTATTCCATCCCGCTGCATCTTTAGTTCGAGAGAAATTTGATTATAAAATTCTCATTCCTAGAGTAATTGATTTGCTTAAAGGGACACTGACACCCCCCAAAATTTTTTTTTCATTTTTTGCCAGGGGCTTCATTATGGTGTCGGAGGACTACCCAATTAATATTTTGCAACAGAGTAGCGTATTTTTTTAATAAAGCCGAAAGACGCAACTGCTCGAAACCGAAACCGAAACCCGACGGAGGTCGGAGAAGTGGAGAGAAGAGAGTGAGTGGCGGAAGTCACGTGGCTACACCCGACCGTGCGTTTTTTTTTTTGTTTTGTTTGTTTTTTCTACTCTCTGCAGCAGACGACACGACATGCGGCGTGCGATGCGGCGTGCGGGAACTGCTCGCCGGGCGATTCTTTTGCAGTTATGTTGGTTGCGCTCGTTGTTCTGTACTCCAAGATGAGTTGTTTTGTACATTGAGGAGTCGGAGATGAGTAGCGAGTGCCCGTGGTGAATTTCCATGATCGGCTCCGAAAAGAATACACCCAAGATGTTGCGTGAAGAGCTGGCTCACATGTCCTGCGTCCGAAAAAAAGTGGCATTGTGCGAGAGTTTCCGAAAGATCAACGGGATCGGGACCATTGGCTGGCTGCAATTCCTGTAGAACATATACGGGCACCTCGGAAAGCGGATGCTACCTGATTTATATGCTCCTTGCATTTTGTGGAAAGTGATTACATTGAGTTCGCAGGTGTCAAAAAGGAAATCACATACCATTTAATTCAGCGAAGTATCGTCCGCAACATTTGTTTGTTATGTTTTGTTTGTTTCTTCAGTGATGATTGTAAAAAAAGAAAAAAGATACGTAAATATCAAGAAATGTTTGAAAAAAAAAAAAGTTTCACGGGGAATCGAACCCGGTCCTACCGCGTGTGAACCGGACGCCTTTCCCACTGCGCTACTGGGGGATCTCTTTACTGGTGGATCTTTTTCCTTTGTAATAATTAAGCCGGTAAACTGTAAGTTTGAAAGTTTGCTGTTGATTTTTCTCTAGCAAAAGCACTCCCGAGTCGAAGTCGGGAAGCACCACGCTTTGGGGACATTCGCACCTAGTAAAGAAATCGTACGCGTGCATATTCAACTCGAAGTAGACACGTCGTGCTTGACGTTTGCGCGAGCGATGTCTTCAGCCACGAGAAGGGAGCGACGGCTCGGCGACGTCTTCGTGCAAATCGGCTTGGTGGCCGGGCGTGTCGTACGGGATGAATACCAATTCTTTTGATCAGTCCCAAATTTCTCTTTTAACGGTAGACAGAATTCGCCGGTACCGCGAACGACAGTTCTGAAATAAAGGCCCCACGCCCGTCGTCCGCTGCCATCGCCGTCCCCGCGAGTCCCACGATACGCGAAACGACGAACGCACAGAATGCTTCCGGTTGTCTGTGGAACTTTTTTTTTTTTTTTCAATCAACGTATTTACAGCTTTTTAGAAGCCACAAAAAATGGGTTTCATATTTTTTTCTATTTTTAATATTGAGTGTGTGCCTTCAGTGACCCACGACTTTGATTAAATTTGGTGGTCGCATCGATACCTTAGAAAACGGCCCGTGACCTCGAAAAAGAGAGTGAGCGAGACTCGAACCGGCCAGTTCTTGATCGGCGGTTTTCGGGCGGAAAGAAACCGAATTTCGAGCCGCAAATTCTGTTCTGGGTAGTTGAGCTCTCATATGACACGTACAACTAAAAACCTCGGCGAGCATAAATACCCTGTCAGTGTCCCTTTAAGGACTATTATGTTAATTTTGAAATTTTTTTTATCCATTTTAAATGCAAAAAACGACGTAATTCCTTGCGCACATTACGATTGGAGGGTACGTCAACATTGGTATGGTGATATATGGTTGTCCTACGTGAGAAATGCAATCGTCTGTACAGATTGGAACATAATGTATAGAAATATAGGCACAGTTTCCTCGAGCCTTGTAAGTCTGGAAAAAATGGTCAATGAACTCAAATCTACACCTTATTTACTGGACGCTTCCATAAAAAGTAGTATACTCGTATATCTTAATCTACTTACATTCAACGAAATTGC